AGGGCAAGTGGTTAATGTTGATAAATGTAAGGTTTTGCACTTGGGGACTAAGAATATGCATGCATCATTGTCATGTTTCACATGACTGTCATATACCTTTAAGTGTTCTTTGTATTTTGTCTCTGCTCCTCCCTTTCCTTTGGTTTAGTTTATGCTGTATAGATAGCCTCACTCCTTTGTTCATTTCCCAGTAATGCACTTCAGCTTCAAGCCTCATGTCATGAAGTAGATCACATTATGATCTTTTGACCTATCCGATGTTCATTGTTGTAAGATTCTCTCCGTTTATGGAATAAACTTCACAATATCTACAAGGTGTCGTCTGGATCGAGTCACTGCCTGTGTTTTTCAACTAAGATTGGAGTTATCGCCATTTCATCACAACTGTAAATTACAGAGATTACATACTATGGGGAGTACAACTGGGGGAATCAATGGTGGAGAAGGATCTTGGAGTTCTGGTAGATCATAAGTGGGAGAACTTGTGCCCCATTGTTGGTGTCAGTGGGAGGAATAGTGCCCCATTGCTGATGTCAGTAGAAGGAATAGTGCCCTATTGGTGTTAGTGGAAGGAACAGTGCCCCCCATTGTTGGTGTTAGTGGGAGGAATAGTGTCCCATTGTTGGGGTCAGTGGGAGGAATAGTACCTCATTTTTGCTGTCAGTGGGAGGAATAGCAACTCATTGTTGGTGTCAGTGGGAGGAATAGTGCCCCATCGGTGTCAGTGGAAGGGACAGTGCCCCATCATTGGTGTCAGTGGGAGGAATATTGCCCCATTGTTGGTGTCAGTGGAAGAAAACGTGGCACATTTAACCCTTTGATTGCCACGGCACCCAGCCGGTGCCATTAGTAAAGTGTCAATATATAGAATATTTCACTGATCACTGCATTCCCACCACTAGTGACATCAGATAATGTCAGGGTCAGTAAGCGCCTCACCCAACCAGGGTCAGCTAGCATTACTGCACACTATTGCACTCACGCTATAGGTTGCTGATCACCCCCATTACTAGTATAGTGTTTGTACGGATCAATATATTGATTATGAACAGAGCTATACTAGTGCCTGCTTTTTATAGTGTCCCAAAAAAGCAGAGTTAGCCAGATCGGCCCCGTTTGCTGCCAGCACTAGCGTTTAGCCCTTCCACTATTTTTCATGGAAGATTTGTACCAATTGATTGTGGGCCAAAGCAATTTATATATACAACAATACATGGCTGCCCTCCCCAATTCAGTTTTTGCCAGACAATTCGCATGGAAACCTATCACGGTTTCTGAATGTAAAACTTTTTTGGGCCTAACCCTCAATATGGGCATTACAAAAAAGAATGAAGTGCGGATATATTTATCCACAGACCCGATTCATCATATGCCTCTGCTGTTACATATATGCTCAACATGGACCAGCAATGTACTGGGACGTTGCTGGACTTTGAGTGGTTATAACGGGATGATGCCTGCAGCTACAGGCATCATCCTGGTATCATTTCTTTCAGCTGGTGGTTGGCTTTCATGTAAAAGCAATCCTAGTGGCCAATTATCTGCTGAATTGTTTTTACAAGCAGCGGGAAGGGACAACACCCCCCTGTAGGCATATAAAATGTGTGTATCATAGATATAAGTAAATATATAAAATATGAGTAAATGCACTGTATATACATCCATGTATGTGAAGTTGGCACTCATAGCAGACCAGACGAACTACATTTTTTCATATCAAAAGGATAGAATAAGAACTCCTTACTGTGTTAATTTATGCATGAGGTAATTACCTCACCTTTGTTATGTTGGGTTTTTGGATAATTATGTGGGGAGTTTCAGAGCAGGTTATTTGCAAATCTACCAGCATTGTAAAATGCAAGTTTGTCTGATTAGATTTGGAAAGGTCTTAAATATTCAGTGTACATGTTTATGCTGAAGAGAATTTCAAAGTGGGTGTTGTGTCCACCTTTGTACAAGAATGTAAATGATTTCAGTTTTGCCATAAACAAGACAAGGAGTATCTATTTAACTTTTTAATTAAAATCTATACATACAGCTGTTCTAGGTCTTGACACATGAGATCAAACATGTTCAGAAAAGCAACCAATCAGATAGCCCAACACTTTGGTCAATGGGAAAAGGTGCATATTATGGAAGGTTTTTTGGTTGAGTTGTGTCAGGAAAAAGTTGCATCAGGAGAAAGGGGGGGGGGGGGGATAGGAGCAAGTGGGTCCTTTAAAGGTTTATGGTGATTGCATGAATATACTAAGTACCCTGTCATCTGCCTTGTCTGTACCTCTGTTTTATGAATTTTTCTGAGCTGATTAAATGCATCTCTCTGTAAAAGAACTGTTGGACTAGTTGATGCGGTCGCTGAGCCCATTAAAATTCTCCCTGGAAAAGAAACGCTATAGTTGTCTATGTGATAGAAGACAACACCCCCCTCTTGCCACCTTCCACAGTTTTCTTGGGATCGCCTGTCTCACAGGAGCATCCGAGAATGCAGTCGGAAGATATGCTGGCTGACCATAGAGCTGATCAGAGGCCAGAATGGATCCAATCCGCTATGAGCATTTCATCACTTCAGTTTTGCAGGGTATAAACAGCGCCATTTGTAAACTGGGAAAGCATCTGATCACACCAATCGTGGTGAGATCAGATGATGTGAGGGCAGAGGAGATATCTAGAGTCTAATGGACCCCAGATTTCTCAAAAAAGAATACCTGTCAATGCCTATTGCATATAAAACCTTTTTGTAAATTACAAAAATAAATTAAATAAAATAAATAAATTCATTTTAAACATATAATATACAATAAAGTCCAACTAATCAAAAAGATGTCCAAAAAGAAAGTCCAAAATAGTGTCCACAAATATCCCAAAATTTTTTTTCACTCTTTTCATCCAATAAAAGGATTGGCTCCTATTTCATCCAAAACGCACCTCAAAGGTAAAAAAATATAATAATATCTAGTGCATTACCTTAATAATAATAATAATAACAATAATCACCCCGTGCAACCAAAATACACTTCAAAAAACCTTTTGTGCAAAAAAAAAAAAAAAAAATTATATTTTCAAGTACAAATTATTTTCTTATTGTGCATATAATCACACAAATCAAACTGTGAGCACTCTGTGGTCACTGCAATTCAGTGTCTACCATCAACCAACACACAGTAGTACTAAATACTATTACCCTCTATGAGTATTGAAATGCTCAAACAATACTATGGAAAAATATTCCTCCACATTCTCTTCAAAGAAGTTTTTCCAAGGTCCTCAGAGAGATAAGGAGGGTCTCAGGACTAGTATTCAAAGCATAGAACTTTTTTATTCATCACTTACATTGAAATTCAAAAATATCAGCTCCAGACATGGTTCCAAACTTTTTCTATCAAACACCATAGAAAACCATGTGTGGAAAACCAACAAAATGGCCGTGGAATATTTTTCCATAGTATTGTTTGAGCATTTCAATACTCATAGAGGGTAATAGTATTTAGTACTACTGTGTGTTGGTTGATGGTAGACACTGAATTGCAGTGACCACAGAGTGCTCACAGTTTGATTTGTGTGATTATATGCACTATAAGAAAATAATTTGTACTTGAAAATATAATTTATTTTTTTTTTGTTGCACAAAAGGTTTTTTGAAGTGTATTTTGGTTGCACGGGGTAATTATTATTAATATTATTAAGGTAATGCACTAGATATTATTATATTTTTTTACTTCGAGGTGCGTTTTGGATGAAATAGGAGCCAATCCTTTAATTGGATGAAAAGAGTGAAAAAAAATTTTGGGATATTTGTGGACACGATTTTGGACTTTCTTTTTGGACATCTTTTTGATCAGTTGGACTTTATTGTATATTATATGTTTAAAATTAATTTATTTTTATTTTATTTATTTTTGTAATTCACAAAAAGGTTTTATATGTATTATTGCACTTTCTAGGGAGAAAGTATTGACTTTTTGAGGGTTTAAAAAGGAGAAGGGTATACATTGATTGAATGCCTATCGCAGTCAGATGGGATATTTACATTCCCTGTAATAGTAATAAAAGTGATTTAAAAAAAAAAGAAAGGGAGAGTGTAAAAATCAAAATAACTAAAAAGAAATAAAAAGCACAAATGCCCCCCTGCACGTGCGCACCTGTGTTCACAAGTGTTGACCCCACGTCAGTATGTAAACAGTGTTGCACCATGCATGTGAGGTATCGCCACGAACATCAGACTGAGGGCAGTAATTCTAGCATTAGACCTCCTGTGTAAATATAAATTGGTGACCTGTAAATGCTTTTAAAGCGTCGCCTATCGATAATAAAAATGTATGTATTTTGTTGCCATTGCAGGGGTATGCGCAATTTTAAAGCATGTCATGTTTGGTATCTATTTACTCGGCGTAGCATCATCTTTTATATGTTATCAAACAATTGGGAAATATATTGTGTTTTTGTGCATTAAAATTCTAAAAAGTGTATTTTTTCCCAAAAGATTTGCATTGGAAAAATTGCTGTGCAAATACTGTGTAACATCAAGAAATTCAACACCCACCATTTTATTCTGTAGGGCCTCTGCTTTAACCTCCCAAGCGGTATGATTATGTCCATATTTCTGTGCTCAAAGCGGTCCATTTTTTTGCATGGAAATATGTATTTTTTGTTATTGTAGGCTTGTAATTTTTAGGAATAACTCACTGAAATCTGTCCGAACAAGAGTCTAGTAAACACAAAATCATAAATTATAATTTAATAAATAATCATAAAAAATAATATAATAATAAATTTAATTCAATAATACAATCAAACCAAAAACATTGAAATTTGAAATATAGCGCCAAGTTCGCACATCACTCAGCAAAGTTGCAAAATCGTTTTCAGTGTCTGATGACAAATTTCCCCACGAATCATTATCACTCAATTCTGCAAGTAGTTCTAATTTACTATCACTGTTCTCTAGCTGGTCTAAAATCGATTTTGACCTAAAGGGCACAGGACAAAGCACTAGGGACAAAATGTATGTGAAATGGTTTGATATAGTAATGTTTTACTATGTTATTTTAGTGAATTTAGTGAATGTCACTTTTTGTCATTTTCAAATTTCCCGCTGTTCCGTACCATGCGTCGCAGGGGATGGAACCCAGAAGACAGATGCCAGCATCCGCCGAGGACATTACAGGGGACACTGCAGGAGGGAAATCGCGGGAGCGCAGGACAAGGTAAGAGAAGAACAGATCCCGGAGCAGCGCCGCATGGTAAGCCCGAGTGTAGCTCGGGGTGAACGCTTGTGGTACTGAAACTTTACCCCGAGCTACACTCGGGAATACCGCCAGGGAGGCTACAAAACTATATAATGTTTGAGGGTTCAAAGTAATTTTCTAGCAAAAAAACTGTTTTTGCATGTGAACAAAAAGTGACAGAAAAGGCCTGGTCTTCAAGAGTGGGTGATCTGTGGCATAAACTTCTAATATCGGCCCTGAAATGCCAGGATAGTAGAAGCAACCCCTCCAAATGACCCCTTTTTGGAAAGTAGACACTCCAAGGTATTTGCTAAGAGGCATGTTGAGTATTTTGCAGATCTCATTTGTTGCCACCTTTTTGGAAAACAAAGAAAGTAAACAAAAATGTATTTTTTCTTTTCTTTTTTTCTTTTTCAAAACCCTGTGACAAAAATGGTATCTGTAAAATACTCACTATGCCTCTTATCAAATTTCTTGGGGTGTCTACTTTTCAAAAAGGGGTCATTTGGGGGTGCGTGTTGGCACTGTGATAGGTAGTGGAGAATTGATATGAGGAAATATGTCCTTTGAATGCCTGGAGGTGGTCATTGGATTTTGGTGGCCTGTATGTAGCTAGGCTGTCAAAAAGTCTCTCACATGTGGTATCCCCATACTCGGGAGAAGTAGAAGAATATGTTTTGGGGGGGGTTATTCCACATACAGTTGCAAGAAAAAGTATGTGAACCCCTTAGATGACGTTCAGAGCACATTTTATGCCCAATTCATGCAAAACTCCACGTAATCCCAAGTCACAACAATAGAAGAACACAGTCTGCTGAACACAATACTACACAAACATTAGATGTTGCCATGGTTTAATTGCACATAACATGTAAACATTCACAGTGCAGGGAGGAAAAAGTATGTGAGGCCCTAGCTTAATGACTTCTCCCAGAGCTAATTGGAGCCAGGAGTGAGCCAACCTTGACTCCAATCAGTGTGATGATATTGGATGTGTTGCTGACAGCTGTCCTGCCCTTAAAAAAACACACACCTGTTTTGGGTTTACTGGTTTCAAGAAGCAGTGATGTGACCCATGCCTCGCAGAAAAGAGCTCTCAGAAGACCTACGATCAAGAATTGTTGACTTGCATGAAGCTGGAAAGAGTTACAAAAGTATCTCCAAAAGCCTTGATGTTCATGTGTCCACGGTAAGACAGACTGTCTACAAATGGAGAAAGTTTAGTACTGTTGCTACTCTCCCTAGGTGTGGTCGTCCTGTAAAAATGACTGCAAGAGCACAGTGCAGAATGCTGCATGAGGTAAAGAAGAATCCCAGAGTGTCAGCTAAAGACCTACAGAAATCTCTGGCACATGCTAACATTTTTGTTGACACATCTACAATAAGGAAAACATTAAACAAGAATGGAGTACATGGGAGGACACCATGGAGGAAGCCATTGCTGCCCAAAAAGAATTTTGCAGCACGATTGAAGTTTGCAAAAGAGCACCTGGATGTTCCACAGCACTACTGGCAAAATATACTGTGGACAGATGAAACCAAGATTGAGTTGTTTGGGAAGAACACACAACACTATGTGTGGAGAAAAAAAGGCACAGCACACCAACATCAAAACCTCATCCCCACTGTAAAACATGGCGGAGGGAGCATCATGGTTTGGGGCTGCTTTGCTGCCTCAGGACTGGACGGATTGTTGTCATTGATGGGAAAATTAATTCTAGAGTTTATTAAGACATTTTGCAGGAAAACGTACGACCATCTGTCCGCCAACTGAAGCTCCGCAGAGGATGGGTGATGAAACAGGACAATGACCCAAAGCATACAAGTAATTCAACAAAACAATGGCTGCAACAGCACAGAATACGCCTTCTGGAGTGGCCCAGTCAGAGTCCTGACCTCAACCCGATTGAAATGCTATGGCATGACCTTAAGAGAGCGATTCACACCAGACATCCCAAGAATATTGCTACACTGAAACAGTTTTGTGAAAAGGAGTGGTCCAAAATTACTCCAGATCATTGTGCAAGGTCTGATCTGCACAAAGGATATTGCTGCCAAAGGAGGGTCAACCAGTTAAGTCCAAAGGTTCACATACTTTTTCCTCCCTGTACTGTGAATGTTTACATGTTATGTGCAATTAAACCATGGCAACATCTAATGTTTGTGTAGTATTATGTTCAGCAGACTGTTTTCTTCTATTGTTGTGACTTAGATGATGTTCAGAGCACATTTTATGCCCAATTCATGCAAAACTCCACGTAATCCCAAGGGGTTCACATACTTTTTCTTGCAACTGTATACCCATGCATGCATGAGCAATATATCATTAAAGTGACAACTTTAACAAAAAAAAGTTTCATGGACTCAACATGCCTCTCTGCAAAATCCTTGGGGTGTCTACTTTCCAAAAGGGGTCATTTGGGGGGGGGGGGGGAGGGGGGGGGTTGTACTGGCATTTTAGCACTTCAAGAAATTGTATAGGCAGTCAGAAAATAAAAGTGCAACGGAAGCGTAGGCAGGACAGAACACGCAAAGAAGATGGGGAACATACAAAGCTTTGTTGAACTATGAAAGATACTCAATCAGGACAGTTTAAGGCACTCTGCGACATGCAGCTTGTAGGGACACCCACGGTAAGCGGGCTCACGGGGACTCAACGGGACCTTGGCGATGGGGTCTGACCTCAGCACAACCCCCACACAGCTTTCTAGGGACAACAGGCTCACGGGGACTCAGCGGGACCTTGGCTGTGGAGTCTGGCCTCAACACAGCGTGCTAGGGACGACATCGGGTTCACGGGGACTCAGTGGGACTTTAGCTGTGGAGTCTGGCCTCCGCACAGCTCCCACCCAGCTTTCTAGGGACATCTGGCTCACGGACTCAACGGGACTTGGGCTGTGGAGTCTGGCCTCCACACAACGTGCTAGGGATGACATCAGGCTCACGGGGACTCAACAGGACTTTAGCTGTGGAGTCTGGCCTCAGTACAGCTCCCACCCAGCTTTCTAGGGACATCGGGCTCATGGGGGACTCAACGGGACATTGACTGTGGGTCTGGCCTCAACACAGCGTGCTAGGGACGACATCAGGCTCACGGGGACTCAACGGGACTTTAGCTGTGGAGTCTGGCCTTAACACAGCTCCCACCCAGCTTTCTAGGGACATCGGGCTCACGGGGACTCAACGGGACTTGAGTTGTGGAGTCTGGCCTCAACACAGCGTGCTAGGGATGATTCGGGACACGGGTGGGTTGTGCGCACAATACAGACAGTTCAGGACACAGGTGGTTTGTGCGCACAATAGGGACAGTCAGGACACAGGTGGTTTGTGCACACAACAGGGAGAGTTCAGGGCACGGGTGGTCTGTGCACACAATAGGGACAGTTCAGGACACGGGTGGTCTGTGCGCACAACAGGGACAGTTCAGGACACGGGTGGTCTGTGAGCACAACAGGGCAATTCAGGACACGGGTGGTCTGTGCGCACAACAGGGACAGTTCAGGACACGGGTGGTCTGTGCGCACAACAGGGACAGTTCAGGACACGGTGGACTGTGCGCACAACAGGGACAGTTCAGGACACGGTGGACTGTGCGCACAACAGGGACAGTTCAGGACACGGGTGGTTTGTGCGCACAACAGAGACAGTTCAGTACACTGGTGGTCTGTGCACACAACAGGGACAGTTCAGGACACTGGTGGTCTGTACACACAACAGGGACAGTTCAGGACAAGGGTGGTCTGTGCGCACAGCAGGGACAGTTCAGGACACGGGTGGTCTGTGCACACAACAGGGAAAGTTCGGGAAAAGGGTGGTCTGTGCACACAATAGCCTCTAGGGACACTCACGATAGGCGTCTTGCAGGTGCTCAGCAGCAGGCAGCTTCCAGGGACAAAGCGGTCAGCAGACAGGGCAGCTTCCCAGAGCCCAAGCGATCAGCAGACAGGGTGGCTTCCCAGGGGCCCAATGATCAGCAGACGGGCACAGCGGGCTTAGGCAGGTAAGGGCAAAGCAGGCTTGCAGGGGCTCGGCAAGGTCTTGGTGGTGCGGGGTCTGTGCCTGGGGGATGGTTCTGACCTTTGGGAGAGTCTCATGCAGAGCGCTCAGTGGGGATGGCTGCGGAGGCCCGGTCCCCACCTGGACCTCCCAGCAGCTTCCAGGGAGATGATTCCAGCAGCGTGCACAGGGACAGAGAGGCTAGCCTGATCTCACGCCGGCCTTTTAAAAGCCTTGCGGGACGCTACCGGGTTGCCCAGGCAACGGCCGGCCCAGTACCAGTGTTTCCGGGGCAATGAGGCACGCCCCCCTCACTCCGGCCATGTAGGGGGTGCGCGGCCTTTGTCTCCGGCTGCTTTGCCAGGAGAGGTGCTAATCGCACCACAGGGGGCATTTCCTCCTGTCCTGCACAGCCCTGGCAGGACTGAGGAATCTGCAAGGGGGGAGGGAGAGGTGAAGGGATTCGGCAGAGGGACAGCAGGCAAAGGAGAGTTTGGAAGGCACGGGCACTCCGTGACAACTCCTCCCCCTTTCATTTTACAAGTGCCGGAAAGGGGACCTCAACAGGTCTCCTTGGAGGCACTTGTGGGGTGCTATTGCTCTTCATCATCTTCTTCCGCGTTCTGGTCCTCCACTGCTGCCACCAGTGTGCTGAAAGCGTAGGCAGGACAGAACATGCTAAAAAGATGGGGAACACACAAAGCTTTATTGAACTATGAAAGATCAATCAGGACAGTTCAAGGCACTCCGCGACATGTGGCTTGTAGGGACACCCACGGCAAGCGGGCTCATGGGGACTCAACGGGACCTCGGCGATGGGGTCTGACCTCAGCACAACCCCCACACAGCTTTCTAGGGACATTGGGCTCACGGGGACCCAACAGGGACACCACAGGGGGCGTTTCCTCCTGTCCTGCACAGCCCTGGCAGGACAGAGGAATCTGCAAGTGGGGAGGGAGGGGTGGAGGGATATGGCACAGGGACAGCAGGCAAAGGGGGGTGGGGAAGGCACGGGCACTCCGTGACTAAAAGCTATGCAAATTCCAATATATATACCATAGTTTGTAGATGCTATAACTTTCACACAAACCAATTAATATACATGT